CTGTGTGTCCTTTTCTTGTCCTCTTGTCTCGTTTATTTCAGGGTTTGGCTTCTCCACTGTGTTTGTTTCTCGCAATCAGCAGGTGGCCAGGACTTTGTTCTTTACCCTTGACTCGTAGAACTTAAGCCGAATAAGTTTGTGCTTTAATATTAAGCATACTGTTTGTGCAACTGTGGCTTTCTTTTGTGTGAGTACAGGTCCATGTGTGTGAGTGAGAGCGTGAGATGAAGGGGGAGGGACAGAGAGTAAGGAAGAGAGGAGGGTGGAGGAGACGTGGAGAGTCATTTTATTAATGTGGCGACTCCCGCTAAAATTCAGGGAGTGCTGTTGCATCCAGCTGTTACTGGTTGTGCGAAGCTTCGTTGCCATGGCAACACAGCCCTGTGCGCCTGCTCAAGGTCGTTCATCCAGCTCTGAACTGAGCAGCGTGCTGCACATAGGATGCACACGGAGAGAGAGAAAGACAGGAAGAGAAAAGCAGAAGCGAACTACTTCAAAGCGACCAATCACATGCACTTCAGTGATGCTGTGGTCAGTGAACAAACTCAGCCCTCCCTCTGACACACACATACACACATTTACTTTCTGCAATAAAGAAACAAACGAAAAAAGAACCCCTGGCCTTGGGGTGTGTAGGCTCTTTTGCTAGCTGATAAAATATTTAGCTGGTCAGTGGGGGAGAGAGGAATACGGTGGCTGGAGAAGAAGCGAGCAGCAGAGCTTGGCTTTGTGTTGTCCTTTCTCTAATAGTGCATCGCTGTGAGGCTATACCCGGGGCCTCCTTCCACCTCCTCTCTGCTCTTCTCAGGGCTTTAGCGTCCCTTGTGGAATGTTTGCTGGAACTGTAGTACAACACTCTGTACACCACTGACTGTATATAAATATATATATAAGATGGATGATGTGTCACCACTTCACTTGGCTATGCAAAACTGAATACAAAAGATGGTGAATACGGTCGCTGCCATCTTGGCATGTTGCAACCGGATTCTATGCAGTAGCGACAAGTACTTGAATGAAGTATCAGACCCCCAGTCACAGCTGTCAAATCATCTGAAATGCACCCCTTTTGACCATATGACCTAAAGTGTAGCCAGCCATCAATGGGTCGCTTCACTTCTGTGAGGTGTCATGTCATCCATCTTTTATATAGTCAATGCTGAACACTAAAGGCCCCAGTGCACTGTGTAATAACCTTCTTGCAAGTTCATCATGTTATATTGCAAAACTGAGTGTGGTAAAATTGTGGTCAGTCTGTGTCAGATGATACATATTAGATGAAATAGATGAAAGAGTCTACAGCCAAGGTAACAGTTCTGTGAGGCTGGACTTAGCAGAGTGGTGCTTGGAGTAAAATGCTAATGCTGGCATGGCAACATCCTCACAGTGGCATGTTTTGATGTGCCGGCCTTATTCAAAATTAGCACATAAAGACAAAGTGCAGTTGAATCACATGGGGATGTTTCTAGTTTTGTAGGTATTGGGTAGAAACCTCAGTCACGTGTAGTAAAGCAAGTGTTTTAGATAAATACCTGGCTGCTTGTTCTCGAATCTGACACGCCATGTTGTGGGCCCAGTATGGAGGGCAGTTGGTTCTTCTACTTGTGCTCTGCATTTATTGCTCTCTGC